TGCTAGATATTGTAGTGAAACAAAGCTACTTTTAAATAAGAAAATAGTAAGACAACTATGGTAAATTAATTTTGAATAGTTTACTACTTCTACGCATTCTATGTTATAATTATTACGTGTATTGTAAATAAAATAATTAAAAAATAACCTCAAATTTAACTTATAAAAATGTAAAATTATTATTCATACCTATTATATGATAAACAATTAAATTTAATAATAAAATTGTTATCTGATAATACATATAATATAAACATTGGGTGAGATATAAAAAATTAGGTTGAACTCTAGGACCCTAAGTTTTTTTGAAAGAGTTCTAAAAATTTTACAATAATGTTAATCGTACTTAATTAAGGACCAAAAATACATTGAATAAATAGTGAATTTAATTTAAAGTTAGCACTCACTACTAATTTATTAATTAAAATGCATTGAATATTTAAATTATATCCCAGCATTTAAATTATATACTGTTGTTTATAATTTTATTTTGGAGGCCAATTTTTTTTTGGAATTTTTGTAAGTTGGTACACCTAATTAGACTTATTTGACAAAAAGTATACACTAAAAAATATTTTGAAAAAATGTACACTAGTTAGATACAAAAACATAAATGTCCATTTTAGGAAAAATGATGCATTAAATATCTCCTAGTTTTATGGGAGAACTTTAATATTTAATGCACATTGATTTATGTGTATTTATTAATATATATAAGTATGTATATACGTATATAAATACACACACACACACACACACACACACACACACACACACACACACACATATATATATATATATATATATATATAAGTATATATACAAGTATGTATATACGTGTAAAGTGTAACATTAAAGTGCAAAGTGTAAAGTATATATTGAAAAGTGTAAAATGTTACATGTTAACATTGAAAGTGTAACACTTTCACATTTTCTTAATTAATTAGTATTTTTAGTGTAAGATGAGACATGTATATTTTATTTGTATAACACTTTAGGTAATGTCTCCTCTTATCTTGTGTAAATAGTTTGTTATATTATTATTGCACACTGTTATTGTTACTTTCAATATTATCCTATAACACTTTACACTTTTCATTAAGAAATGTGAGACATAAGAGATATATATATATATATATTATCTTATATGTATTTGTTAATATATATATATAGTAACAAATACACATGAATTAAGGTGCATTAAATACTAAAGTTCTCGCATAAAATTAGGAGATATTTAATGTACTACTTTCCAAATAACATACACATGAATTAATGAAGGACAAAAATATCATAAAAAAATTAGGCAAATTTAAATTTTGCACTTAGATATAAATAAGTATCAAAATAAAGGACTTAATAACCCTATATTTTTTAGTACGTATTTTTTATCAAATAAGTCTAATTTAATATACCTCTTTATAATTTTTTCTTTTTTTTTTGTAAATTTGGCCCCAAGGGTGTGGCCTTATGGCCTATAGGTTGGCCGGCACTGGCTCTCAAGTGCAAGCAGAAAATACTAGCTCGGTGCCAAATGGGCTTGGTAGCTGATCCAACTCAAACTGCACTTTCCCTAATATTGGGTCTGGGCTAATCGATTTGGGCACATTAACTTGGGTTGTCGGAAGAAGAATTGGCTCCCCAATCCCCTCAAATTGTAATCGAATTTTTTGGAGGCCGGTATCTAAACCCAATAGAATTCAAAAAAAAAAATATTCATTCGCTAATTTATTTTTTGATTAGCTCCATATTAAAAAGTCAAATTAATGGACATAATTAACGCCCTTAAAAATCACAAAAATAATAATAATATCATCACGTAATTGAAACACTTATTCTAAAAAAATTTGTCATCATAATGTACATTCTTTTTCATAAACACATGTCGTCAAATAATACATTAAAAAAAGATAACTTGTTCTCGATTAACGTACTCATTAATTGTAAAGTATATTAAGATACATTTATTAATAGTGATTGAATTCAGTATATCTCTAAAACAAATATATTGAATATGAAAAATAGTCATGCTCACAAACATTCATAATTACAAATACAAAACAAATGCGTTAACAAATACAACATGTATACAATTAATATATACCTATTTACATAGGTTCACAACAAATCATATACGATAAACAACATACACAATTATTCATGTACATTATACGAATATATAAATCCACAAGATAAGTACATCAACATTTAATTGAGAATAAGGTACATATACGTCATTACAAGTATACAAATATATAAAATCAAACATAATTCAAAATTACGTAAATCAAACATGTACTTAAATCTATCAACGAATACGTAAAATTTAACTATAACAATCTAATTTGCATACCTACTAAATCAACGCTTAAGATAAACGATTGTTATATTCTAAATTGTTTAGTTCACGAATTTGAAATTCAAAACTGATAGACAACACAACAAAATTTTTAATAAAAAAAAAAAACTAACTGTATTTTAGGGTGAAATCATTTGCTGAGGGCAAAATGGGTAATGAAAACACGTTAACTTCTAAACTCCTATACGTTCTTATCCACAGAGAGATCACATGTAATTTTTTTAAAAACACTAAGAACTTTTTTATATATTAAATATCTGATAATACTAAAATTAGTTTACACAACAAATCAGAGACACAGGGTAATTAACTAATTTTAATCTTACCCTATAACCATAAAACACAATCGTACTATTAACTCTAAGTATTTAATAATTTATTAAATTTCAAGTTTTAAATAAATATCTAATCAAAAATTGTGCAAAATTTAATCAAAATCCTTAAATTGATAGAAAGTAAAAATTTATTGACTTATTAAAGATTTTATTTTCTAGTTTAGTTTTAGATAAAAATGGTATCTATTAGAGTGAAGAAGTGATATTTGTTTGTTTATGATTATCTGGGCCAAAATAGTTTGGGCTCTTATTTGCAATCATTTTTCAAAAAATTGGACTTATTGGTACTGCTAAAAATTTATAGAACTTCATGGATATATAGAATTTAAAGAAGGAATTATTTGTTTATTTCTTTACATTTTTATTACAAAAATTTTTCTAAAAGAATAAGTGAGAAGAATTGATTGAATGATTTAAAAAATTATTTTACTATTAGGATGCTCAAAAGAATTATTGATTGGAAAAAAGAATTCCCAAATATAGTATATATTGGACAGTTTTCTTAATATAGATATAGAAATATAATTTTTAACTCTTTATTTAACGAATATCCATAACTTGCGAATGATAACATTTATCCAGGATTTATTTTATAGGAATTGAGTCTATATAATCCTGCATTGGAGAGTTTCCTCGCCATTAAAAAAATAAGGGCAAGAAAAAAATAGAAGAAAGGAAAAGAAACTTAAATATTGGGTCTTACCGATATATCAGGTCTGTAATATTACGTAGTTTAATTATTTATTAATAAATAAATGAATTCTACAAAAATCGTAATTATCTAGCAATATAAAGAGTTCTATTTTATCTATTTTATAGTTTTTGTATTGGATGATTACACCACATTAGTATTTTTATATCATATTATTACGTTGACATAGTGTAACGGTTTAATGATAAAATAACGAGTGGACAAGTGTATCCCCCTATAGTAGTTATTACATGACATAGATGTGTAGTTATTTTAATTACGTGAGATCTATTTGCCTACTTATTATCTTATCATTAGACCGTTACACCATATAACTGTTACACCCAACATATAATTCTAGGGAATAAAAAAAAATACAAATTTTGAATCTTAAAATAAGTAAAAATTATTGTGTGAATAAATTTTATTAAAAACACGAGTAATGTAATTTAGATTTAATTTATTCATCTAATTTGTCGTTGTTGATCTAATTCATCAAAATTATTGAATTAGTAATAAGTCTTAAAAAATTTAATCTGACAGTGGTAATTCTTTGGATACAAAAGAAATTCTACATTTTGAATAATAAAAAAGTAAAAATTGTTGTGTGAATTAAATATAAGAATAATGATATTTAGATCTAATTACTTGCTATGAGTAGATTAACAGTGAGTCCCAAATAACTATCTAGATGAACAACTAATTCAATTATTGTAATAGATTAGATCAATAAATTTTATCAGTAATTTTGACATGTAAATTTTTTATATAAGATTTTTGATCACCTTGATTCACTATTAAAGAGTATTCCAAAAAACTATATAAATTAGAGAATATCTAATTGAACAACAGAGCTAGTTAGGAGTCATCTCAAAAGTATTGGCAATTTGGCATGGGATCTAAAACAAATCAAAAATTTTTATCGCATTCATAAGTCGAAAAGACGCGTGTATGAACCACATGTTTCAAACATCTTCCCTAACAATTAACTTCCTGGCACATTCATCTCGAAGGTTGCCATTCAATTGTTGTTGGAGCACACAAAGGAAGCATGGCCGATTAAAACAGAAAAAGTAACCTCTTATCTTGGACAACCGGAAATGGACTCTCGGTAGTTAGTAATGTTGGGCTTTTGTGAGAGTCTAGTTTGTATGTTGATTCGGTTGATGACTCGATCTGAAGTAATGTTACGTGATTTTTTAATGAAAAATTTTCTGAGGGTTGATACATAGAATGACCCGATCAGAAGTAATGGTCGAAGTGTATAGCCGCTCTCTATAATCCTCTCTCTCAATAGTGAAATTCCTGAAGTTTTGTGGATGTAGACAAATTGCCGAACCACGTAAAATTTGTGTCTTGTTCTTTCTTGTTTCCTATTGCTTAATGTTCTTGGTTTGTTCTTTAAGATTGTGTGTGTTTGTTTATGGATTTAAATCATGTTAAATCACAAGAAGTAAATTTTGATTTAACAGATATTCATTATTAGCAAATTACTACATACATCTAAGATTTATTCTATAGGAAATTGGTATAATAATAAAGTGTCTTCAAGACTCAACAAGCTGAAGAGAAAGAAGTAGGAGCGAAAGGAGGAGGAGGAACTTCAACATATCCT